CCTCTCCACCCAGGGAGGACTCTCCTCTCCACCCAGGGAGGACCTCCTCTCCACCCAGGGAGGACTCACTTCACCCAGGGAGGATTCTCCTCTCCACCCAGGGAGGACTCACCTCTCCACCCAGGGAGGACTCACCTCTCCACCCAGGGAGGACTCTCCTCTCCACCCAGGGAGGACTCACTTCACCCAGGGAGGATTCTCCTCTCCACCCAGGGAGGACTCACCTCTCCACCCAGGGAGGACCTCCTCTCCACCCAGGGAGGACTCACCTCTCCACCCAGGGAGGACTCTCCTCTCCACCCAGGGAGGACTCACCTCTCCACCCGGGGAGGACTCTCCTCTCCACCCAGGGAGGACTCTCCTCTCCACCCAGGGAGGACCTCCTCTCCACCCGGGGAGGACCTACCCCTTCCTTCCACAGATGGCCTGCATCTCCATCTTGGGGCCTGCATCCTCAGAGCTTAGGGCTGGGGCTGTGCCGTTGTTGTATTCTGGCTGAGACTTATTGGTCTCACCCGGATCAGAGGAGCCTGGCTCCTGGGGCTGGTGAGCCAGGTCTGTCCTTGTGTTTCCCTCGGGCTGGGTGCCAGGGTGTGGGGCCCACACCGGGAAGTTGCACAATGTGTTCTTGGCCTGAGGGCTCTGGTTCCCTAATCCCTGTTTCTCTAGCTCAGGCCACCTTCCAGGTGCCCTGTCCGGGCAGGGGGACAGCTCCAGGCTGCGGCTGGTGGGCACGGGGGGGGACGCTGGGCTGGGAAGGTGGGAGGCCTTCTCCCAGCCCGGTGACGCTCACCCTGGTCTCTGATGCTCTCCCAGTGCAGGCACCTTCTCCTCCCGGCCTGTCTGAGGGCTGTGGGGCAGCAGGGGCTGCAGGCTGATACATGGACGGAGTCCCGGCCTCAGGAACTCTTCCTGAATCTAGAGCCTGTCCAGGTCAGCAGGCGGCCTGGCCAGGAGCTTCGTGAACGCCAGCCGCACCTTCCTCTTGACCACAGGAGCTTGGGGCCACATTTGGCTCCGAGGCCTCCCCTGTGATCAGAGCTCATGATGGACACCGACCCAGAAAGGAGAATCAGGATCCCATTGTTTTCAACAGGGGGAAGACATGGCGGGGAAGGGACCCCACGTCTCCGTTCATCCCCCAGCCGCAGGGTCGGGGCCGCCCGGGCCTCTACGCCTGGCCAGCCTCTGTGCTGAGGGCCTCGCGGGGCCAGCCTCTGTGCTGAGGGCCTCTACGCCTGGCCAGCCTCTGTGCTGAGGGCCTTGCAGGGTCAGCCTCTGTGCTGAGGGCCTCGCGGGCTCATGCTGAGGCTGGCGCAGGCTGGACTGTTGCACCATGCCCTTCCAGGTGGCTCCAGATGCCGGGAAGGCAGTGGTCAGCCGGGAAGGCAGTGGTCGGCTGGGAAGGCAGTGGTCGGCCTCAGCCACTCAGGATCAGGCTCTGCAGAGGCCATGCTTCTTTCTGGGGCAGGATGCAAACAGAGAGAGTGGGGGAGACAGAGACAGACAGACAGAGACAGACAGACAGAGGCAGAGGCACACAGAGACAGACAGAGATAGAGATAGGGACAGAGATAAAGACAGAGACAGAGACAGACAGAGACAGAGATAGAGACAGAGACAGACAGAGACACACAGCAACAGAGACAGAGACAGACAGAGACACAGACAGAGACAGACACAGACAGACACAGACAGAGACCGAGGCACACAGAGACACAGACAGACAGAGACAGAGACAGAGGCACACAGAGACACAGACAGAGACAGACAGAGAGAGTGGGGGAGACAGAGACAGACAGAGACAGACAGACAGAGGCAGAGGCACACAGAGACAGAGATAGAGATAAAGACAGAGACAGAGACAGAGACAGACAGAGGCAGAGACAGAGACAGAGACAGAGATAGAGACAGACAGACAGAGACAGAGACAGAGACACACAGCGACAGAGACAGAGACACAGACAGACACAGACACAGACACAGACAGACACAGACAGAGACCGAGGCACACAGCGACAGAGACAGAGACAGAGACAGACAGACAGAGACAGAGACAGACAGACAGAGACAGAGACCGAGGCACACAGAGACACAGACAGACAGAGACAGAGACGGAGGCACACAGAGCGAGGTATGGCAGTTGACCGGGCAGCTCCCTGCGTGTGCGGGAGCAGCAGCAGCGGTGGGAGGCTGCGGGGACGGCCTGTGAGGAGGGCGGCCCTCCCCCAGCCCCATCTGCAGGCCTCAAGCTGCTTCCTCCTGCACGACGGGACCTGATTCTACCGAGAGCCCCTGGCCGGGCTGGGCGCGCCCCGCGTTCTAATTACATGTAATTCCAGGACCGGCTGAGCCTGGGAACGCACGGGATCAGAGCGCGGATGGAGCTGGGCTCGGACGGAGCTCCAGGCTCCACCGAGGCCGGCGGCCCCACGCGCCCATGCTTCTGGAGGCCACGCGGGGCATGCACTGGTGTGGGGTGCCGGCTCTGGCCCCCTCACCCCCGAGCTCCCCCTGCCGGGGGAGAATTATCTCCCGAGGTGGGCCGGGCCGGGGCAGACCCCAGGCCCCCTGGCCGGGGCAGCCACGTCGTTTGTGGCTGATGGGCCTCTGGAATGGGAGAGAATGCACACACCGAGCCGGGAGTCCCCAGCCTGGGAGTCCCTCATTCTACCTGGGCACGGGGCTGGGGCTGGGCACGGGGCTGGGGCTGGGCACGGGGCTGGGGCTGGGCGCCGGCTCTGCGGCCAGGATGCACTTCTGGCAAGAACCTTTGCCCTCTTCCTTGGCTGGGGTCTCCTAGCGCTGGAAGGGATGGGAGCCTGGCCGTGGGTGTGTGTGGCGTGGGGAGGTGTGGGGTGCCGCATCCTGAGGAAGGCCGGGTTTACTCAGAGAGTCATAAAAGGATAAACTCCGATAACCTGAGTCAATATTTCCCCACGGGAGCCCCCACAGCTGTTTTCTGCATAATCCGCAGGCCCCGCCCACCACCGCCCCTCCCCCTCCGCCCTGCACAGCCCGCTGGGCATATAAGGTGCCCACCCCGGCCCCCGCCGCTCTCGCACGCCGTCCTGCTGAGCGCCATGGGGTGGCCGCTGGCTCGTCTGGTGGCCGTCTGCCTGGCCCTGACCCTGGCCAGGGGCTCAGAGCTCCAGAGAGGTGAGAGGTCCGGGGAGTGTGCAGCGGGAGGCAGCCCGGCCGGGAGGCCGGTCAGGCGGGCCAGGCAGCCCAGCGCGGCCAGCGGAGCCTGGGAGCCGAGGGC